GCATTAACATTCAGTTAAACTCTTAAAACTATCAGCAGTTGAATCAGAAAGCGTATTTAAATAAAACATAAACACGACTTTCTATTCTACCTAGTTCATCCCAGCAGGAAAGGGGGGTAAGGATGATATTACTGTTTTGGTCCGGTGGAGTGAAGGGACTTCGGCTCGGTCCGGTTTTCTGCAGGCCCTGTCTTCTTTCCAGTCCGTTCCTCCAACCGCAGACAGTTCGGCGGTTGGATTCTGGTTAGCAGAGCTGAATTAGTTCTTCTCTGTCTCAGCTGCAGCAGGTATCAGGAACACATTGTTCAACTCGGTTTGAATCGCAGGAAAAATAAAAACACTGCTTTCAGCTCCTTCTGAATCGCAGCAAAAAGGTAGTCTGAATCGACCCAGCTAGCGCAGACTTCTCCAAAGGGATTTGGTCACCTCTTAGCATAGCCTTCAACTGGAAGTTCTTTAGTATCTAGCCTTACACGGCCCAGGGCCATCGGCAAAAATAGAACGTTGAAACAGGAAGTTATCCTCCGCCAGAGGGGTGTGTCTTCAGAAGGGAGTAGTTCTGGTTACATCAGCCACACTTCATCACAGTATTAAAAGGATGCAGGATGCTTCATATAGGTAGCTCATTCAGCAAAAGAACTTCCTGATTCTCCTATCTGCCTTTCAGGATCTATGGACTCCCTTAATTATTTGCACTTAATTAATGCAAAGCCCACCTCACAGAATTTCATAAAAATCACTATTGCTTCACATGTACTGCTTGTGACTCATACAATTTTTACACAACTTCATATGTTTTGGGTTTCATAATGGGGAGCTTTAGCAGCTCACTAGATTTGTTTTCCTTTTGTTTTGTTTTTTGTCCTTTTTCACAAGGCTGTAGTCCCAATTTAACAAACCTAAAAGCAATCTGATTCATCGTAACAGTTTGGAGTTCATCTTCTACCTAGATTATTGATCCACTGTTAACTTTACAAAAGCTGAAGGAATGTGAGCCAGAAAATGGGGCGAAGAGCTACAATTTACCCAAATAGAAAACACCCTCTCTCTCGTCTAATTGTGGTCTAAGTTGTGGGTTTCTGTAGTTGCTGTGTTTTCTGCTGCACCCTTTTAAATGGGAGTATTTTTCAAAGCTTTAGAATTGAGACTATAAAGATGATTCATGCAAATAGGCTCAGGATGTTGCAATATTATTGCATTCAATTACAATTTTTTTTCTAATTTAACAGCCCTCCTTCCTGTTAATGACTTTCAGATGCCTGTGGTTAGTATTTCCATAAAAGATGTTGGCTGGATGGTGAAACTCGTGATCTTTGACTTTGTATGTATGTTAGCAAAATTGTCTCATACTTTAAGTTTTTTCCATCAGTTCCAGTTTCATGCCACATCTGACGGGATTGGAGGATAGACGAGCAAATGGAATTTAAGTGGAAATCTATTCTGATTATTTATTTTATGGTTTACGAGGGTTTCTGTAACCATACAGAATACAAATAAACCCTGACTAAAGAAGGAAATGTTAGATAATAACCTCATTTTCTCAAATGTTAAGTATGTGTGTGTGTGTTTTTTTTTTTTGTTTCATGCTATGAATCAGGAAATTTGGCTTTTTCCACATGGTGAAAAAAAGGTGCTCTCTTAATTGAAGATGTGATTGTGTTATTCTTCCAGATATTCGTCTGAAGCATAACTATACACCGACTGCCATGACAGATTAACTTTTGCTTTCACTACATTTAGTTTGATGGTTGAGCACAAGTTGGAAGATATTAACTGCAGCTCCACTGAAAGGATCATTTGTTGAGTTTTTAATAGCCCCTGGTTTTAAGATAGATCCTAAATCTTAATGGGAATCCTTCAGTAATGAGTCTTGGAAAAAACAGAGCCAGTAAAAATGCTGGATATGATCTCAGTTTTTAGGGAAGAGGAAGAGACAATATAACTGCTTCTCTGTTTTACAAAAGATAATTTTAACAAGATATCCCAGATTTAAAAAAAAAAGATAAAAAAAAATATGTTTTTTAAATTTTAAACCCTCTGCAAACTGCAAGCAAACTATCTCTTGTTTCTTCCTTTTTCTCTTAAGTTCTCACTAAATTCAATTCAAAACAATTTTATCAGGAAAATAAACTTTGTGGTAATTCATATTTTCGAGGGTTCTTTAACAACGTCTGGTAGTTGCTAATAGATGTAGGTAGGAAGGATCTTCTGTAGCAGTCTATCATACAACGGGCCATGAGAATCAACTGACTGAAGACACTCTGTTGTACAACAGTTTTTTGAACAGGATGCTCAGGGCTCTCCATCCATCCATCCATCCATCCATCCATCCATCCATCCATCCATCCATCCATCCATCCATCCATCCATCCATCCATCCATCCATCC